GGTTGGCAGGGCTCTTTTAGTAATAGATGTCCTATCGTCCTCTCCCGACGGACATATATCTCAAAACACTCATAAGCCTCAGGTGCACCTAACACAAGCTTTTTTACGTAATTTTATCAACAATAATACAATAGTGGATCTAAACATGATTACTGACAACAATAAGGCAGAACAACAATCAACAAAACTCGTGCCACAAAATGAGCGGCTCAGACGGTGGTTCCTGCATTGTCCTCCAGGCGCTCCTCTTCTCCTGATGAGGCCACGCGTAGTTCTATTGAAGTGGTAGGATCTGTAAGCATAGGGTATGGGAAACAGTATTCTCACAATACATTACAATGAGAATGTAAGGAATTAGTAAGGTGCAAGAGAATAAATGTAAGGTACAAGATGACTTACTATCTATCATGTACAGTTATATTATATGCATTACACCTATTACATATTTCTGAGGCCATTGGTCGTGGATTTCAAGGTGTAGATCAGGCCCAATCACAAGAGGAGTGGCTGTTAAAGTTAGGACATTCTTTCAACATGTAAGAAAACGTTTTCTACAAGCTTCCTGGTAGCAGAACAGCACTTATACAGAACCGTACAGTAGCAAAACTTCATATCTTGACCACAATCCTCAGAAAATACCTAAATTTTTATTGCAGTTCACTTCTAAATGAAACAAAATGCGTACTTGCTGTTTCAGCGTTGGTTTTGGTTATGCTGTCGCGTACATGAAACAAAACCTGTTCAGTTCGTTTTTGTAGCCAGTTAATCGAAGTATCCAAAGTGCGAATCTTTTGTACTCATAGCTTTTTCACAGAATTGCGATACACTAAGCGCATTTGAAATAATGGCGAGGGGTAAGCAAATCGAAACTCTCACTTCTCATCGCGATTTCAAAGCGCCGATGACGCCTTGACATCGCGATGAGAAGTGAGAGTTTGTTCAGGAAGCAGGTGGATTCATTTCCACAATTTTTCCCCTGTACAATTTTATACAAAGTTGATGCAGCAATGAATCATTATATAGATACAACAATGATCTATGTCAGAACTGGTTTGAACCCTTTTGATGCAGAGGTTGTAAGTATAGATCAAGGCGTGAGAAGAAAACTTGTGAGTGAGAGCCACGTTTCTTCCTTTATTGTTCCAAGCATTTTTTTTTATTTGGCAATTTTTTTGGCTACTGACGCTTTACTGTAGAAAATCGCTAATCCCGGCGAAGCTTAGGTCGGCGAACTGCACAGATATGGCGCATAGCACCCTGGCCGTCGGCCGATGTGGCGGAACTGCCAGCCGTGTATGGAGGAATCGTCCCGGTAATTTACGAGTCGGGCAGTCATTTGGTGCTGGGACACGATTTCTTACCTTTTTTAATGTCTTTTGTTTGATGTTTGCTTTTTCTCTCATAAGTAATTGTACACAAGATACATTCTACACATATATTCAGAGATTGAGATTTCATCAAATTAAAAGTACTTCAATACATGTAAAATGTTGAATCATATATAGCAAAACTTTAGATAATGTATAGGCAGTGGATGCGATAGTGTACATTATTTACATGCATTAAACAGTGGACGTAACTACTAAATAAATTCTCGCTTCCCACAGTTAAGGTTTTAAAAGCTGATATCAGTACGTAAATGATTATTGGATACATCAGATCACAAGAATGGTACATGAAACATGCATTAACTTTCATCAGAGAATTGGTCTAATCAAATTCTTGTCACCATTTCTTCCGCACATACCAAGTTTTTAGAAACCCGCTACTGGCACTTTGCCTTCTTCAAGAAATAATTGCTCTCGACATCTACAGGCAATATCTCTGATTCAATCCTGAGCACAAAACTCTAT